TCAGGTTTTCATCCCCAAACGGATGGACAATCTGAGCGTACCAACCAGGAGGTGGAGACCAAGCTTCGGCTCCTCTGCGAGGGGGACCCGAGGAAATGGACGTCCAACCTCCCTTGGATTGAACAAACAATCAACTCTCTTCCATCCTCTACATCAGGTATTTCACCCTTTCATGTTGTCTTTGGATTCCAACCCCCTGTTTTTTCAGTCCAGGGGAGAGAAGCTCGGGTTCCCTCTGCACGACTCGCAATTTTACGTTGCCAGCGAGTCTGGAGAAAAGCCAGGAGAGCCCTAATTTTGGCCACCAAAAGGTACGTTCGGGGGGCTAACCGCAGGAGAACGCCTCAACCATTGTACAAGGTGGGCCAGAAAGCGTGGCTCTCCACCAAGGACCTTCCTCTCCGTGTGGAATCTAAGAAACTAGCACCACGTTTCATTGGTCCTTTTCTGATTACCAAAATAATCAATCCTGTCTCTGTTCGCTTACAGTTACCCAGGTCCATGCGCATTCATCCAACGTTTCATGTCTCAAGACTCAAGCCATTTGTCCTGCCACGTTTTCGACCCACCACCGACCTCCCACCACCCGCCCGACTCATTCAGGGGAGCCCAGCCTACACGGTCCGACGCCTTCTTCGATCCAGAAGGTGGGGGAGAGGACTCCAGTATCTGGTAGACTGGCAGGGGTACGGCCTGGAGGAACGTTCCTGGGTGCCCTCACGCAATATTCTGGACAAAACCCTCATTAGAGACTTTCATCGACTGAACCCTCTCCAGCCTGGTGGTCCTTCAGGAGCCGGACCTTGAGGGGGGGGTTCTGTCATAGCTCTGCTCTCTGTCAGCTCCTCTGTCATGCTGCACACTCAGTAATCACTCAACTCATGTCACCTGTCACCGCTCATTATCCCACAGCTCCACCACCTGGTCCAGTCAGTACTTAAGTTCACTCATTCCTCTCAGTCTGGGCCAGATTCTCTATCCTGTCTCATCAGCAGTAGACTTTCCAGCATTCCATTGATTGACTCATCACGTTCATGACCCTTGCCTTGACCACGACCACGCTTTTGCCTCAGCCCTCGTCTGCTTTTGCTCATCTGATCAGGTACCGACTCATGCTCTTGTTTTTTGACTCTCTTTTTGGATCACGTACTGGATACTTCTGCTGAACAACTGACTTCATGGTATGAACTCTGCCTTTCCCTTCTGACTGTTTTTTGGATCACGGATTAAAGGTCAAGCTCATTCTGTATCACGGACTTATCCTTATCCCTGAATCTGATTCCCACAGATTCATTTCCCCAATTAGTCTCTTTCCCCCTGCATCTACTAACTTTTATCTTTTAGTTGCAAGCCTGTTGGACTCCGTTCCAGTGGACCTTAACATCAGTTCTACTTCTACTGGCAGCCCGCCACTACAATACTACCCAATCACGAACTACCAATCAGAAGATCGGAACCAGCCCAGAACAGGACCTACTCCAGAGTTTTACTTTATTTCACAATAAATCTTTTAACCCTCTCAGTGGTTGTTGTTGTTGTTTGCGATCCGGCCTCTGGTTCATGACAGTATAGCTCACCAAACAAAATACATACCATGGCTCATAGACCTATTTCATAAATTTGTCCGACTTTTGGGATATAAACTTAATTTTTCCAAAAGTCTCCTATTTCCGGTCAATCAATTAGCCCGAGATCATAACTATGACATCTTTCCTTTTAAATTAGAATTAAACTCATTTAATTACTTGGGTGTCACTGTGACACATTCATATAAGGACTTATACATCTATAACTTTAAAAAGATGGTAAATAGCACCAAGTTAGATTTAGTAAAATGGTTTTCCCTGCCAATATCTCTTGCAGGCAGGGTTAACATAATGTAAAATGACAGTACTCCCATGTTTATTATATTTGCTTCAGATGATTCCTTTCTTTCCACCTAAATTCATGTTTAGAGATCTAGACAGTCATATTTCTACATTTATTTGGAATAAATCCATTCCTCGAATAAAAAGATCCATCTTGGAAATGCCCAGTTTAAGGGGTGGACTAGGATTTCCTAATTTTCTGTACCATTACTGGGCAGCCAATATGGCAAAACTGCCTTATTGGATCACAGCATTTAAAGGGGAAAATGTTCCAATATGGGCTCACATGGAGACCCTTTGTAATCCTGTAGACTATCCAATATCTACTTTATGTTGCTCCCTTAAAGATGTTACTATGAAACATATAAATAATCTTGTGGTTAAGAGCTTGATCTGAATATGTCATCAGTTCAGGAAACATCTTGGTCTCAACGCTACGTCTTCATATACCACTGACACGTAATCACTTCTTTCCCCCTTCTCAGATTGGTGCAGTATTTCAGATGTGGCATGATGGTGGCTTGGTCCTTTTTAAATATCTATTCATAAATGGCACTTTTGTATCATGTGAAACTCTTCGGCAGCTGTGGCTGAGTGGTTAGAGGAGTCGACCTCCAATGCGTGAGTTGGGGTTCGAATCCACCAGCAGTCACATGCCGAAGTGTCCCTGGGCAAGGCACTGAACACTTCATAGCCTCTGTGTGTACCATCAGTGTATGAATGTGATCTAAAGCACTGATTAGTCTCATTAGAATGATTTGTTCAATTAGTTTTGTAGAGATGTAGAGTGCTGTATGAATGGGTAAATGAGGACACAGATTGTAGTGTAAAGCGCTTTGAGTATATAAGATAGAAAGGTGCTATATAAGTACAGTCCATTTACCATTCAACAGAGTAAGAATTTACCGAGGTCACTTTTTTTAAGATAAGCTACTTCCAACTTTGTAGTTTTGCTAAAATGCACTTTTCCTTTCCTACTATACTACAGGAAAAAAAAAATTAGATACTATTTTAGCTCAGGAACCAGAGTTGAAGGGTAACGTCTCAAAGATCTATAAAATAATTCAAAACAGTACCCCGCCATCCCTTGATTAAAACAAAGTTAGCCTGGGAGGAAGACCGACAAATTCCACTTACACAAGATGTTTGATCAGAATCGCTACAACGTATTCATACTACATCCCTATGTCTAAGACATTGCCTTATTCAATTTAAAATTTTGCATCGCTTGCATTACACTAGGCAAAAGCTCTCTAGGATTTATCCTGGAGTAGATCCAACCTGTATTAGATGTCATCTGAACCCTGCTTCCACTGGTCACATGTTCTGGGAATGTCTGTCTTTATCTTTGTTTTGGGGTCATATTTTTGAAGTTTTTTCACAGATTTGTCATACCAAGATTAATTTTAATTCAATTATTGCTATCTTTGGTGTTTCAGACAAAAGTATTGATATTACAATACCCCAGGCTAATTTTATTGCTTTTTCTTCACTACAAGCACAGAGGCTTATTCTCCAACATTTGAATTCAGATAAACCTCCAACATTCTCTGAATGGGTTCTGGAGTTACTCTCCCTAATTCCACTAGAAAAACTCAGATGTAATAGGAACAAATCCCATCAGAAGTTTAATGAGACATGGGGCCCCTTTACTGAGTGTGTTCTTACGCTCTTCTTTACTTAGACATCATAGTAAAATTGCTCTCAGTGTGTAACATACTCGTTATTCAACAGAAGTATGGGTCGGATATTTCTCACAATTAAGACTGTTTTTTGCTCACAGCATGCAAAGTGTCACTGAACTGTTATTCACTATAATGAATGGTCGCTACTGTAACAAATACACACTACTGTCAGTAGTTAGGTGCATTATCATTATCCATCCATCCATTATCTTTACCTGCTTATTCCATTTTGGGTCACGGGGGTCACCGGTCGCCCATGTCCAGCAATCACTGTGAGAGGGGCGGGGTACACCCTGGACGGGTCGCAAGTCCATCACAGGGCCACATAGAGACAAACGAGACAAACAACCATTCACTCTCTCACTCACACCTAGGGACAATTTAGAGTTACCAATTAGCCTAACATGCATGTTTTTGGTCTGTGGGAGGAAACCGGAGTACCCGGAGAAAACCCACGCATGCACGGAGAGAACATGCAAACTCCACCCAGAAGGCCCCTGGACCGGGGTTTGAACCAAGGACCTGCTCGGTGAGAGGCAGCAGCTCTACCAGTTGCGCCACCGTGCTGCCTTATTATCATTATATATTAATTTATTTATTTATTATTATTATTATTATTATTATTATTATTAGTAGTAGTAGTAGTAGTAGTAGTAGTAGTAGTAGTAGTAGTAGTAGTAGTAGTAGTAGTAGTGTTTTTATTATTGTCTTTTTTTTCTGGGGGGGGATAAATGTTTCAGAGAGGGATTTGTGATTTTGTAACTCATGTATAATGCTCAAAAAATTCTATAAATGAAGTGTTTAAAAAACAAAGGTGGGATTGAGCATATATGAACGTTAATGCTCAAGCATCTGACTACATCTGTGATTAGGGGAGTTTAAATATTCCAAAGTGATTTGTTGGGTGCATACACTGCTGTGTTGACATGGGACTTGCCTCATGAGAAAATAACTGATCTTGACCTGAAAAAATAAGGACCGATTTGAACCCAACACACAGCATGCCAACAGTGTCAGAACTGAGTTTTGCTGTCTTTTTTGATGCCTCCAGTAGGAGCAGGTCTTTGCACATTAACTTTTAGTACGCCGCCGAGCACACTTTCTGGTTGACAATCATAATATTATGGTTTCTTGCTTAAGCTTGGAGTAAGAGCTTAGTCTGTCTTATTTCACACACAAGCAGCTCTTTGCCGTGCAGCTCCTCCAGTGCAGCCAAATAAATGGTGGCCTGCAATCTTTAAGGATGTTTGGAATGTAAACACCGCTGTGACATGAGAGCTATTCTTCTATTGGTTTCTCTTGTGGCATTTAATATTTTCAAGTTGGACAGATCTTTTTTTTTCATTAAAGATGAAGAGAACAAATATTTAGGGACATGGCATTATGTTTGTGAAGAGGTGAAATATCAAGCAAAGAGCTCAGGTTGAGTGTTTGTTTTTCTTTCCAGGAGAGCCTGAACCCCTGGATCAGCAGAAACAGCAGGTGACTGTAGACGAGGGCACGGAGCTCTTCACTTACAAGGGTAATGATGTGGAGTCCTACGTGGCAACCAGCACGCCCTCTGGTCTCTATCAGCTGGAGCTGCTGTCCACTGAGAAAGACAGCAACTTCAAGGTGTATACCACCACAACTCCAGAGTCAGACCAACCCTATCCAGAGCTGCCCTATGACCCCCGGGTGGATGTGACTGCACTGGGCTGCACCACTGTTACGCTGGCCTGGAAGCCAACACCAACGGGCTTTCTGATGGGTCAGCCTGTTCAGTACTGTGTGGTGATCAACAAGGAGCATAATTTCAAAAGCATGTGTGCTGCTGAAGCTAAAATCAGCACAGATGATGGTTTCATGTTAGCTCCAAAGCCCGGCAGAGACTTTAGCCCATTTGACTTTGTGCACTTTGGCTTTGTTCCCTCTGACAATGGTTTTGGCAAGGATAGAGGACTTACAAGTAACAAGATCTCACGGGCATACACAGCCAAACCCAAAGTATCTGACATTCAGAAGATATGCATTGGAAACAAAAACATTTTCACTGTGTCAGACCTTAAACCAGACATGCAGTACTATTTTGATGTGTTTGCTGTAAATTCTGCTACCAACACCAGCACGGCGTACGTGGGAACCTTTGCTCGCACTAAAGAGGAAGTTCGTCAGAAAACACATGAGCTGAAGGATGGCAAAGTGTCGGACATTTTCATCAAGAGAAAGGGCACCAAGTTTCTGCGTTTTGCTCCCGTGTCCTCCCATCAAAGGGTCACACTGTTTGTTCACTCGTGTCTCGATGCAGTGCAGGTACAGGTTAGGAGAGATGGCAAGCTGTTGCTCTCCCAGAACGTCGAAGGCGTACGGCAATTTCAGCTGCGAGGGAAGCCCAAAGCCAAGTATCAGATTCGCTTACGGGGAAGCCGGAAAGGCGCCTCCACTTTAAAGGTGCTCTCCACCACGCGGCCAAGCAGCAAACAGCCTTTCCCTTCTCTTCCGGAGGACACTCGCATCAAAGCCTTCGACAAGCTGCGCACCTGCTCCTCCATCACCATGGCTTGGCTGGGCACACAGGACCGCAACAAGTATTGCATTTACCGTAAGGAGGTGGCTGAGAATTATGGCGAAGAGCAGCGACGTCGAGAACAAAATCAGTGTGCTGGGCCAGAGACCCGCAGGAAGTCAGAAAAGGTCCTGTGCAAGTATTTCCACAGCCCAAATCTGCAGAAAGCTGTGACAACCGAGAACATCACAGGGCTGGAACCAGGCAAGACCTACCTGCTGGACGTTTATGTGGTGGGACACATTGGCCACTCAGTGAAGTACCAGAGCAAACTGGTGAAAACAAGGAAATACTGCTAAAAAACTGCAAAGAATAAATCTATTTTA